CAAAAAAAAAGGAAAGGTTCTTTTTTTTTAAAGTACTATTTAAGAAGTTAGATTATTACTGGATGGCAGTTATACAAGTTTATACAAATGTAAAATTTCATACGGTTTCGTGTTATAATAGTCATTAAATTCCCTGAAACTATCAGAAATCTGGAAGAATACAGACTAGAGCTATGGGTTTTTACATTTTTCTTTTGTTTTTTCCTTTTTTTTTGGAGTAGGAATCTCACTCTGTCGCCTATGTTAGAGTGCAGTGACATGCTCATGGCTACCATAGCCTTGGCCTGCTGGGCTCAGGCGATCCTTCCGCCTCTGCCTCCAAGTAACTGAAACTCCAAGCACGTGCCACCATGCTCAGCTAATTTTTTTTATTTATTGTAAAGACGAGGTCTTGCCATGTTGCCCAGGCAGGTCTCAAACCCCTGAGCTCAGGAAAATCCTCTTGTCTCAGCCTCCCAAAGTGCTGGGATTACAGGTGTGAGCTACCACACCCAGACTACATGTTTCTTGTCTAACTAATACCTTGTTGTGGTTTTTCTTTCACATCTAAATCTCTGGGCCCAATCTAATTTGCACAGCTAGAGTAGAGGCTTCTAATTATGACACATTTATGAGTATTAAGAAGATTATACCCTCATCATCCTCCTCTTCAGAGTCTGGCGCTTCATTATCCTCCTGATCAAAGCCATCTAAGTAAGTGATTTGCTGCAGCAGTTCAAAAATACTTTCTCGATAATCTTCCAGGTTTGTGATCTCACAGTTAAACAGGTCCAGACTTTTCAAATTTTTAAGATTTTGCTGGAAAAGGAAAGTTAAAAATTACATTCACAATTAAAAATACCATGTTATCTCTTTTTAATTCCTGACCCAGAAAACATGTTTGAAATTGAGAATGATTTTTGGGTTTTTAAAACTTTACAATGAAGGGCTATTCTATCAAGCACAGCCAACTCTCTTAATTAGCCCTGACACATAAAGCCCATGTAAACAGGAACTTAGTTTTGTTCCCTGTAGGATTTCCAGTATCTGTTTTGGTGCCTTACTTACGGTAGGCACTCAACATATTTTTGTTGACTAAATTTGTACATAATTAGGCAACAACAGTATCATGGTCCATTTAAATCCACAGGTTTATTTTCAACAATTTCAACCTCCTCTCAATCTTTTTAAAAAATCAGAGCAACAGACTAGGCTCAGTAGCTCAGCTTATAATCCCAGCACTTTAGGAGGTCAAGGTGAGTAGATTGCCTGAGCCTGCAGGTTCAAGACCAGCCCAGGCAACTTTCAAGACCTCGTCTCTACAATAAATCAAAAAATTAGCCAGGCATGGTAGCGTGTGCCTATAGTTCTGATTACTTGGAAGGCTGAGGCGGAGAGATTGCCTGAGCCCAGCAGGTCGACACTGGGGTGGTCGTGAGCATACCACTGCACTCCAGCCTGAGTCACAGAGTGAGACTCCATCACACACACACACAAAAAAAATCAGAGCAACAATTTTCAGAGTTTCATTTCTTCTTTTCCTTCCTTCATACCAGGAAACAAGAGATCTAATAATTTTTTAAAACTCAAAAAATATTTAAAAAGGAAAGAAAAGGAATAAAAGTTAAGAAAATACCAGAAATTTTCTTTTCTTTTTTTTTTTAGTTGGAGTCTCACTCTGTCACCCAGGCTGGAGTGCAGTGGTATGCTCACAGCCACCACAGCATCGCCCTGCTGGGCTCCAACGATCCTTCCACCTCAGCCTTTCAAGTAGCCAGTACTACAGGCGCGCACTACCACACCTGGCTAATTTTTTTTTAATTTACTGTAGAGACGAGGTCTCACTAAGTTGCCCAGGCTGGTCTCGAACCCCTGGGCTCAGGCAATTCTCCCAAAGTTCTGGGATTATAGGCTTGAGCCACCTCACCCAGCCAGAAATGTAAAACCCAGCTGGTCAACTCCTCAAGTTGATGACAAAATAAATTTCTCACTGATTTAAAAATTCACCTAGATATTTTGCTATAAAGAAAAAGAAAGCAATAACTGCCTAGGTCACAACATATAAGAAATTTGGAAGTTTCAAGAGCTAAATAGAAATTAATACAACACAAATAAGTATCAGAAACTTTAACCAAAAAAAATGTCCAGAGATAAAATCATTCAGCTTACCAGAGCTTCTACTGTTCTGAGATCTTTGATTTTGTTTCCACTCAGATTGAGGTAGGTAAGATTTGGACATTTCTCTGCCAGGACTTCCAAGCCTCCAGAAATTATATTGTCACTAAGCTCCAACTATATTTTCAACACAGGGAAAAAGGCAAAGAATGGTGAAGGCACCAGAGCAAAGATTTTTAAAGTATATAAATTTGAAGAAAAAAAAGTCTGCCATTCTCTCTGGTTTCAAGAAACTATTACTACAAATCATTAATTTCCAAATTCCCATCTGTTTCTGCCAAATAATATATTAGAACACCTATATAATGGGTTTCTAACCCAGCTTTGGTTCCAGTGGTTACACATGGATTTTATGATACAGAGATAAAATATTTGTTAGATGCTAAATTCTAATCATGTCATAAGATGATTCCACTATTAAATTTAAATTTCTAAAAGCAATATTAGAGCTGATTCCAAAATCTTACATAACCCTTTTGTTTATCTCGAGAAACTTTAAAGCTTTTAGGTAACAGAGAGAATTGTCATCTCATTTAGCCAAACACTAGACATAATAGCCATTGGCATTGAAATCATAATGCTTTCAAGCTAATGCCAACTTACTTTTCGAAGTTTATTTAAGCTGGGAAGCCGGGCCAGTGAACTTAGTTCCACCTTAGCCATACTCAGAAACTCTAGTTCTTTAAAAGTATCATTCAGGCCTTCAATTTCCCCATTGACACACAGGCAATTATCAAGGACTAACTCTGTCACCTGTAAGAGGGAACACATTAATGATTCTTTAGTTTGTCACTTGTTTAAGCAATAGACCTGAGTCTTAATACTCTGGAAATATGAATATCAAACCCAGCAATCTCCAGTTTATTGCCCATCAGTTAAAAAACAGACAAACAAAAACCCACCAATTCCCTTACACAGATCCTTTCATTCCCCCAAAAACTGATATACAATCTAAGGTCATCACTATAAGCAACCTTTTACATTTAAATTTGGACTAAGAAGTCCAATGCCTGCTTCAAATTACTAAGGTATAAAAACAAAACTTTGAAACAAGGTTCCCATGTGAAACTTTTTTCTGACCCTGATTAGAAAGAAGGACCCTCAAAACACACAAGTATTTACATATATTTTGGCAGTAAGGGGGTACCTGGGTAATTGGGGAAAGACTCAAGTGAGCCACCCTAAAACTTAGAGCGGAAACTGCTTAATCACTTGTTTAGTTATCTTTGGTTGATAAATGCCATCATAACTCAGAAAAACCTTATTGTCCTTCATGAAAGCACCTTCTGGGACGGCCCATCTTCTGAGAGTTATTTGTTCTAACATCGAGGTCGAACAGTATCACCCAGAACAATACATCCTTGACAAAACGTTATTTCTCCCTGCCACTCTGGCGGCATTTCTGTGGACTCTTCCCCATTCTCAGGAGGTGAGGGTAAGGCTGGATTCTCTATCAAGTCAGAGTTGTAGCAACAAACTTCCTGGTGTGGGCCTGAATGGGCTTAATCTTAAGAGGAAGGCTGAAATCCTGGTTCCCTATACCCAATGCAAAATCTATGTTTGAGGGATTTGAGGGCTAAAATTTAGCAGCAAAGAATGCGACCTTCTCTATTTGAATATGACTTTGACATTATTTCTGTGGCCAGAGAAGGCATTTTGATCTCCCTTTTAGAGGGAGAAAACCAAGGCCCAGAGGGCAGAATGGCTTGCCCCGCGGCAGGCAGTTAGTGGCAGAGCCGAGCCCTGACTCTTTTAAGTCTCCTGACTCCCAGTTTAACTGGGTGGCAAGAGGGCTACCAAACTTGGTGTCAGAAAACCAGTTCTTCCACTCGAGGAAATCACTTCACTGCCGGGAGATTCCGTTTGCTAATTTGGATTCTAAAACACAATCCACCTTATAAGCCTGTCCAAAGGAGGAGAGTAAATAACAAACGGGAAAAGTGCTCTGTAAACTGTCTATACAATGTAAGAGACCGTTATACACCGCAGCAGAGGGCACTCCTCAAAACCGGCAAGGAAATTACTTCGATCCCTAAGCAAAAGAATGGGGGGGCCAGGAGAGCGACGGGGAGGGGGGAAAGACCGAGGAGGGGGATCCGTTTTCCCAACACGAGATATAAAAAAGTTTTCTAAACGTGTGCTTCTGAGAGATGCCTTTTTTAAAGGCTGCTTTTTTATTTTCTCTCTCTCTCCCCTGAAGCCCTTAAGAATAAATTCTGGAAAATTCAAGTTCTCTCTGGGATGACCCTGATAGCAAGCAACTGTTTCCTCCTCCCCGGCCTCTGCCAGTGCCGGGAAAACAGAGACTTAGGAGAAAAGGGACGCGCTCCCACTGTGCTCGCCAGACCCGAGGGCCCAGACAGACCCTACCCATCCTCTACGCATCCAGGTTTTTTTGTTTGTTTGTTTGTTTTTAATGATGTCTGTCCCTTCCGCCCCACGCCTAGGGCTCATTCCGGCAGGACCGCGCCGCCGTCCTCTGCGACCAGCAGCGCCAGGCTCGTGGCCGGCCACGGCCCGGCTCTCGCGACCTGCCGCTCCGACTGATGGGAAACCCCACGCGGGGCGGGGACGCCCCCAGAAAGAGGGGGTCGCCC